AGGAATGATCGCTTACTTCGCGGAGTAGTAGTCCATGAACGCCGGGAGAAGACGGCCGAAGAATCCAAACGAAGACGAGAGCGAGACCAGAGTGGAAGTCTGCCCGATTCCTCGCGACTCGGCGATCTGACCGAGGTTGTTGAGGAAGACCAAGCCGAGGGTGCCACTGAACATGTAGCTGAAAAAATAGAGCCAGAAGTCCGGGCTTTTCAGCAGCCGGAGGCCGCCGACCTCCTCTTGGGGCTTCTTCACCACGGCGTCCTCCTCCTTGGCAACCTCGGCGTTTGCGTCGGCGGCGACGTCGATGACGACGACGCTCTCCACGGACTCCGACTCGTCGGTGCCGAGGTCATGGATCCTGTTCTCCCGCTGCGTCTCCCGTATCTTGGTCAGGGTCTCGCGGATCTTGAGCCCCACCGGGATGAGGATCGGGGTGGCCAGCAGCACGCCGAGGCTGATCATGTGCTCCTTGGAGGACAGCCCGTTCGCCGTCGAGCCGATGCTGCCGACCACCGCGCAGGCGCCCGTGGCGAGCGTGATCGCGAACATGACGAGGAATGCCGCGTCCGAGCTCGCCGCCGCGCTCTTGAGGTCGAACACCCTGAGGGACGGCGCCACCATGACGGTGACGAACAGCGGCACGACGGCATTGAGGAGGAGGTACGTCTTCGTCTTGGAGTTGGCCAGCCCCGGGAACGTCTCGGCCAGGCTGGTGTACACCTTGGCGCTGAGGCCGAGGTAGCTGGTGGCGAGGCTCACCGCGACGCGGCTGTTCGACGCGAAGTTGTTGATGCAGAGGAGGTAGGAGACGGTGTTGATCCAGCAGATGCCATTCCCGGCCAGCGCGGTGAGCAGGAAGAGATGCCAGTACCGGAGGCCGGAGCTGTCCAAGAACATGTACTGGATGCCATAGCCGACGAGCCCGAACGCGGCGCCGACGAACGCGACGACCCAAAGTGGCAGGTACAGCGCCGCCACCCCGGAGAACCATCCGAAGAGCTTGCCCGCGTCGGACGCGAAGGCGAGGAAGTTGAGCTGCACCTGGCTGATGCTCTTGAGCTCCTTGAGCTGCGACGAGTACACCGGGAAGTCGGAGTTGGGGCCGTTGATGGTCTGGAGCCAGATACTTCCTACCAAGCTCAGCCAATGGGCCGAGGAAGGGGAAGACATTGTTGCTGGTGGTGGTGCGCACTTGCTTGAGCTGTAATGGCCTCTGTCTGCTAGGTATTTATGCAATTCCGGCGGTTAATTAACCGGCAATAAATTGTCCGATGGAGATGACTGTGGCTGCAAAGCTAGCTTATGTGGTTTGTTGTTAGCCAGTATGGACTAATTAGTAGATCAGCAATTAGGCCATAAGTTTTAGCCTAAACAGCAACCAGCCCAACTGAGGGCACAAGTGCTATGGCCCAAGACGTAACTCTCAGCAGGTGTGACCAGAATTCAGAAACGGAGGCTGAGATTTCAGACTGCGGGTTGCTTGCAAGATATTCAGTACTGGTACATCATGACATCTGTTGCTATTGTTTGCTATTAACCGGGGAGCAATGAATGGCATCAATGGCTGTATCTAATTCCTGGTCCGGAATTATCGGAGCTTGTCATGGCCACCTTGCAGCCACGACGGATCAATTGCAGGGCTCACCGGAGCTGGCCGTTGCTGACTTGCCTGCCCCTCTCGTAGACGTCACTGTGATTTTGCCCGGCATTACAAGCTAATTCGAAATCAAACACTTGGTATTCGGCAACAAATAATTAGGGCCAGATTAGCTAGCCCTACTGTTTTCTGAAGTATTCGGCAACAAATCTTACAAGCTAGCTCCCCAACTGGTAATGCTTTCGAATGCTTTGCATATATAGGCCAAGGTTTCTTGGCCTGATCATTCCGGTGTCCTAATCCGAATATGCATGAAACACTTAAACATGAACTGAGCAGTACTCCTAATCGGATTTAACTTCAGAAGAGAGATCCTACAAATAGTAATCCTAATCGGATTCAATTTCTGATGTTCAGCTTGCAGCAGCACTTTCTGACAGTGCAGCAAGAGATACCATTTCCCATACACAATTCAGATCTGATCAGCTCAGCTAGTCAGCTGTCGACTAAAAGCTCTTCCCGCCATTCGGTTCAATTTCCGCGCCATGTCTTTCAATACATTGAACCAACGGTGTCACTGTTCTCTGGATCTGCACAAGCACGGTTCACCACCACTCACCGGCCGCCCTCCGCCCTCCGGCGGTCACGATCAGGCCGCTCTCTCGCCATGAATTGTCGCCACGCCACCGCTGCCATTTGCCGGGAGCAGTGACGTCACGGCTAGTTAACTCCTCCCTCGCCGGCTGCTCCTCCGTGTCTGGCCGCGCTCGCTGCTGCGGTTACTTTCAGCTCACCTCGACGCCATTAAAAACCGAAGACCAGATCAACATGGCCCCGCGGGAAAGGAAACGGTGATAATCCCGGCCGCGTAGAGGCGATCCGAGGCAATGAAATCGTGTAATGATTTCTAGCCATGTCTGCAGCATCTGAATCTAGCACTCGCATTCATGCTATAGACCGCCTTCAGCCTGAAGCTGAATTGAATTACCGTTGTCATAAGGTCATGGTGAGATCAGACGCACGGCACAGGAGAGCGTGAGTTCTGTGGCTCCTGTACGGAGTGGAGTTCAGCCTGACTGCCTGACCATACCTGAGACCTAATTTCTTCTGAATTCAGAGTTCAGACCACCATAAGTTAGAAACTTGAATCGCCATTCTCGTTCGGTAAATGGTGGCATCATGGTGGCCAGGACTTGCAAATGTAAACGTATACTGACGCCCAACATGCTTTCCTGGATTCCTAAAGCTTCAGACGATCAACCGAACTTCAGGTTTCAGATTAACCAACATCGCCTTTTTCCTTTTAGCAGGAAAAACCACTGATCTCTAAAATGTCTGACCGAATGCTGATCTCATCTGATGCAATATTTCATTTGTCGTTTATAGTGATAAAAAGAAAATGGAGAGGTCAAAAGTTCACCAGGAAGCTCTCGACGAGACTTTGAGTCGACACAGTCAGAACAGGATCGGAGAACATCATCAGAGCACAAACCACATGGTGGCACTCCTAAAGCGGCTACATATTCTTTTTCCAAGTGAAAAGCAACTGCATATTCGGTTGCGGCGTCATTACAAGCACTGTTCAGCGGTCACGTTGGTTGAATCCCCCAGGTAGGATCCATGTGCAAATCCGAAGTAGGTAGTAACCCCAACTTCAGAGTTTAGAGCGTGCAACTCCTAACAACTCTCTCTGCCCAATCTAACCCTGGAAACTACGCAAAATGAGGAGGAAGAGATCTTGTACAAGTGTACCTGAACAATGCCAAGATAATCTGGCAATCTCTGCCTCCTCTGTGGACAAGGTGAGGAGCAGTAAACGCCGCTGCCGGCAAGCAGAGGATAAGTGGTGGAAGCCCATGGACGATCGATCCCGGCGACCGGCGGCCAACGGCAGTGGGTTGTTGTGGTATGTCCGCATCGCCCGGCCAAGTTCAGTTGGGGTTGGTAGTTTGGTTGGCTTTCGCCGCTAATCGCGCCGCACGCCGTAGGGACCGGGTTGTCAGTGAGACGGAAGACACCGTGAACGTCTCGTTGGGCCTAATGTCAGGCCGGCGGGGTGCAAACGGCTGTATTTCCGAGTGGGCTCGGCCCAAAACATGAGACATGTTTCTTGGTAGTGGGCTTCGTATTCTTTCACCACTCGGCCTAATTGTGGACATGGGCCGGCCCATAGAAATATAGAATTGTCATCTGAACAGCTGGATCTAGGGCTTGTTAAATTTGTTGCCCATATCAACAATACCAACTGTTGGTAATGCTAAATTTGGTACATTTTGGTAATACCAAATTTTATTAGTGTTGGCTTTATTTGGTTTGATACCTTTACCAAATTTTGGTAGATGTTTAAGAGAGGAAGCTTCTAGAAATACCAAATTTTGGTAAGGTAGCAATGGTTGAAGTGTGTTTAATATGGTAAGGTTGAAAGCAACAACAAACTGAATAGGCTCTTGGAAGTTTCGACTGATTCATCTCGTTGGAGAAAAAAGTTGGAATTGCAAATCTCTTCTCTACTATTTATAAACGTACTGTTTGGCAAGAGAATGGAGATGGGGAGTTTAGAGGAGGGAATTGGGGGAGGGATTGGTCATGAGAGTTACAATTTTACTCCTTGTCTCTTGTTTGGTAAGTAAGATGAAAAGTATAGGAAGTTCAGGTGGAATTAAATTTTAAGTGATGATATATGGTCGACATTTATCTTGTGTACTTAGAAAAGGAATTCCATCCCAATTATCTGCCCCTATCTAGATATTAAAAATGTGGGAGTTTGATCTTAAATTTTCCTTTCCGATAATCCCCATCCTTCGAACTCTCATTCCCTCCTAACAATTCCTCACAAGTCCACAACCAAACAGGCCAAAAGACCATTCATTCCATAAAAACCATCTACCCAAAAAGTTGATTTGGCAAAAAAACAAATCATTTAATGAACAACCCACTAGACCCAAATCATCCTACTAAACTAAATAAAAGAATCATTGCAGCGCGTGAAACTGTAACCGCTAGCGGTACTAAACAACCAAGGAATAAGTCTACACAGACCCCTAAACTATTGCAAGTCAACTATTTAATCCCCTCACTTTTTAAACAATGTATTCTACCCTCCTAAATTTTTCTATACCATGTACTTAACCCTTAAGACAGTGTAATCCCTATGAGGGAGGAATTGGAGGGATTTATTCTACATCTATTGTGATGTAAAATTATTTTCCATCAATCCCTTTCAAACCGTGCAAGACCTAAGATGGTTTTGCCACGGTGGTGTGTTGAGCTGGACCGTTTTGCTGTGTTGGAGCGGGCTAACGTGCGGGTCTTTAAAAGACAGACAAACCGTCTCTTCCCCTTTGCCAAGCTAGTTAGTTCTCTGTTCCTGGTTCGGCTCTCGCTCACTTCAGTGAACCAAGTGGCATGTACTTCATTGCACTTCACCCAAGAAAAAGTATATCCTCTCTTTTTTCTTAATTTTTCATTTATCAGTTCAATTCTATTACAGGTTCACTGTTGGTAGGAGGACTTTGCGACACGGCGTCTCCTCGCCGGGCTGCTTCCCCTCCTTCATCGTCAGCCTCCTCGTCGTCCTTGTCGTCGAGGACCGGGATGTCGCGGAGATAGATGCAGTAGTACGCACACAGCCATGTAAGTGCGCACAGGCCAATCACGTCGAGCGTGCCGAAGCCGATCAGGATCCTGGTGAGCACGCGGCTCACGGCGCCGTCGTCGTCTCCGTGCTCGTGCTCAGAGTCTCTCGTTCTTGGAGCCTTCACCAGGTACAGGTAGTTGTGCCGGTGGCCCCCGCCGATCACCTCCCGGGCCCCCGCCGTCATCTCGTAGCGCGAGCACGCGCCGCCGTGGTCGGCCACGGCCGCCAGCACGTAGAGCGCGGCGGCGCAGGAGCAGTCGCGCAGGCAGGAGTCCGCGCACTGCCGCATCGTCACGTTGGCCGTCGGCGGCGAGGCGGGCCTGATCGCCGTGGTGACGCCTTCCATCACCGCCATGTAGTGCCGGTCGGCGACGGTGGTCGCGTTGCAGGCACTGTGGCGGTGCGCCGCCGGCGCCGGATGGACACCGTAGGTGGAGAAGTCGTCGCATTCGCCGGCGGCGGAGCAGACCCCGCGGAGGCCGCAGGCGAGGGGAAGCTCGCAGAACCCGAGCGCCTCGTACGACGGCCCGAACTTCATGTCATGGCTGTCGTAGAAGTACATGCCCAGGTTGCCGTCTTCTCCGAGCGCCAAGAAGCTGACCTGCGCCTCGATCGCCGGCGAGATCTGCGCGACCGGTCGCCGTTGACGGTCCAGCAACCTCAGCCCCAGCACGTCCATCTCCGCAAATGCCACGCTCCGGTTATGGCGCGGAGTGAGCTCCCAGTATGTGTACCTCTTAATCCCAACGTTGAAGTTGGCAGTGATCGAGCGCTCTTTGAGCTCCAAGGAGAAGAACGCGGAGCCGATCATTGTCACCGGCGCGGTGAGGTAGGAGGGCACCCCGATGCGCTGGCCGCGTAGCAGTTTGTCGGCTGGTTTGTCGAAACTTTGCCATACATATTGGTTCTTGGCGTCCAGGAGACGGAGGTTGCCACTCCGGGTCAGACGCAGAACCTGTGCCGAAACATAAGGGGAACGTGAGTATCTCAGCTCTGACTTAAAAGGGTTTGTTTGTTTTGCTACCTTATCAGAATGTCGGGTAATGCTAAAACCTAGGAAAATTTTGGTAGTAAGTTAAAAATTTCTAGTTGACTTATCACTAACACATAAACGCAAAATAGGGATAACATTATAGTTATTAGAAGTCTATACAACTAAAACATATAGTGTTTTTTTTTTTGCCCGAGCACACGTCCCTGATCTGATGTGTTGTTTGGAAGAACTGACACCTATAATGCGAAAAAGGTGCTGGTTGTTAATAACAATCAACACATTTGAGTGTTGTCGGACATAGACGTTGGTTCTATTAACAATCAATACTTTTGAGTGGGCCCAGTGGTTATCACGTCAAAGTAACCGTTGGAGGTCACATTTTAGCATATTTTGGTAGCAAACCAAACATTGCCAAAAGTACTAATATTCAAAGTGACAATAACTTAGTATAGCACATTTTGGTTTCATTTCAAAATGACCCAATCACTTTAGAGGATAGAAAACGTAAAATCGGTTACTCTAGGTTGAACCAACAAAGCGTACGTGAAAAGAATTGCTAAGAATAGAGGACCTAGAAAGAGAGATGATCTTTCTTTAACGTATCGTCCTCTAACGTATATGGCTGACATATAGGCTCACTTGTTAGAGAACCGACATCAGCCACACGACATTAAAAAGCAATACGTTATAGAAAGTTCCTAGCAGGCTATAACTCAAAGGTGATCTCCCATGAAATAGGTTGACACTAATAAGTAACAAAATTGAGAGGCAATTAGTTGGGCAAAGAGTGCAAAAACATAAAACCACCAGAAATCTATACGCGCTTTACTTTCAATAGGGAGTCACACTTTATTGCATAAAAGATAACTATAATAACGGTAGCTTTACTTTGTTGCTTTATTTATTTTTGTCGTTTGTACTTATTTGTTGCCCTCTATGACTTACGTGTCGTTATTAATTAGGTTATCGATAAAAGTCGTTATTATGACGTTGATATCCGATCCATGCCTTTCGCGCGCTTTTTTAAAACACTCAAGGTAGCCCTTAAAATAAGCCCTTTTTTTCCTAAAAAAATGCTCAGAACCAAATCCTCATAGAAATGAACCTTTATATATAGACTATTTTTTATGGTATATAAGATCTAGTAGGTAGTTCTTGGAAAAATCGAGGATTGTCCACTTAACAGTCGCATGTCAGTATTTGGCATGTATACTAGTCCAGTCCTAGACATAAGGTTGCCAAATCCTCTATCCAATTATCCAAGAACAGGGAGGACAAATCATCAAATCCTCGGACAGATAACTCCATCATAATTCATATCAACCGACCCATATATATATCGGCATAACGCTGATGCACTAAGTCTAGCACTGTTCCATCTTCAACAACATTGTACGATTATATACCTTGATTGTTGGCTCGCTGGGCGTACCTCGCATCGCATATCTAGCTTACAATCCTATCGAGTTTGTAATAAGAGCAGAAACAATGGTAAAGATTGCAATAATCAAGCAGACAGAATGGTGAAAAGCAAACTAGGTAGATCCACAGGAGGAGTCATGCATGCATCACCTTTGCGCGTCGCCCTGCCGTGGCGGACGACCACCCGACGGTCCCGGCGGCGTCCGTCAGCCGCAGATCGCCGTCCACCGTGAGCTCGAGCCGGCAGAAGCCCCGCACCAAGAACCTCCCGCCGTCGTGGTCCGAGGCCCAGACCGTGACGTTGCCCAGGAGGACGACGAGGGAGCACATGGACAGCCCTTCCAGGCCTCCCGTGCCGGCCACGACGCTGATGGCGGCGGCGACGCCAGGCCGCAGCGGCGCGCCGTGCGACGCGTTGAGCACCGTGGTCGTCGTCACGGCGAGGTCGGCCGGCTGCTGGTAGTACAAAGGCACGGTGAAGTTTTTGCCGAGAGGGAAATCCGGCGACGCGATGGCGGCGCAGAGGAGGAGCGCAACCGGGAGCAGCACGGACAAGGTGCACCGGGGGGCCATGGCCATGGCCGTCGCGGTGGTTGGAGAATTCTAAATTCGTTTTTTCTTTTTTGGGGTTGAGTTGGAGAAGGAAAAGAGAAAATGGGTTCAATTTGGTTTGTTTTCTCTCGCAGATTTGCTCTGTATTTAGAGTGTGAAGACTCACGGTGGGGAATGGTATATGATTTAACTGTTGACATTAATCATTTTGGCAGGATTAGCGTTTATAAATGGTCACTAGGCTGTGAGAATTAATGGTATTACTGACAAGAAACAGTCAAATAGAACTACCTGAAATGAACCAAAGAAACAGTGTTACTATGCAATTGCTAAAGGAGCCATCCGTATGATAAAAAACTAACTTCTAAAGATAAACTTGGACAAGCATTGGTTCAAATTTATATCTATAAGTTATCCTTTTTGGGATAGAAGGTGTACAAGTATAAAAGTGGGAGTAATATACACCTGTTCCTCTGTAATTGATAAAGCTTGATGGAAGTTTAATAATTTTTAAAAATGGTTTATGTTAAAAAAGAGGGTTTATTTTTTTACGTGGAAGTGTGTTTTTTCTCCTTGTTTCTACATAAAGATTAAACTGTACTAAAGAATATCACATTTTAATGCACATATCCTCCTCATCAGCATTTATGCTTGCAGAGATTTGATCATTAATTGCCAGTTCATGGAGTGGACTAATTAAAGTGGAGTGGCGGCATTGCAGATTTGCAGTTGTCGCTTTGCGCTCCGCGCGCGACGAGAAAGAAACGTGACTTTTAGATCCTGCGTACCAACAAACACAAGAACGACGAAACAACTCAAATGTGTGTCAACTCGGCGCTAAAAGATTATCATTTCCATGGTACAAATATACCTTCTGTTCCTGTGCATATCAACTGCAAAGTTTAAGTTTAAGCTTATTTTAACTATACATCTACTAAATGTGTGTCAACTCGGCGCTAAGAGATTATCATTTCCATGGTACAAATATACCTTCTGTTCCTGTGCATATCAACTGCAAAGTTTAAGTTTAAGCTTATTTTAACTATACATCTACTAAATGTGTGTCAACTCGGCGCTAAAAGATTATCATTTCCATGGTACAAATATACCTTCTGTTCCTGTGCATATCAACTGCAAAGTTTAAGTTTAAGCTTATTTTAACTATACATCTACTTGACAATGGAGGTAGTTGACAGTAAAGTAATTTTTTTTAGGAATAGACAGTGAAGTAATGGTAAGTAGTTTTGTTTGATCCATCAGTCGGAGACCCAGTGTATTTGAGTTCTATACTTGTTACGTGCACAATTGTCACGACCTGGCCCTTAGTTCACGGGCTCATCATAGCCTACACCCCATGCTGGGCCTCATCATGAACCGCTGGAATGCCTTCCCTTCGCACCGGAGGCAGGCGTACAAACCCACAATTACAACAAAGCCAAAACGAGACCAAATCCTGGGCATTACCAACGCACCGAAATTACTACTCCCTCCGTCCTATAATATAAAAGATTTTTGGAGAGATGTGACACTTTCTAGGACTACGACCTATCCAAATTCGTAGTCCTAGAAAATATCATCGCTCTAAAATCCCTTATATTATGGGCTAGAGGAAGTAATAACTATATAAGAGAACTTTCCTTGAGATCAACAGAACCATAAAATATGCTGGAGAATAACAACGCACGAACAGGATTTAATATCCTGGACGAACACGATTTCATGCGTGTGCTCAATAATGAGAAGCCAAACATATCAAAATATGAGTCGCGAAGTAAAAACAAGGCAATGCGCAACTCATCATTTATGTACAGTAATAATGGTATACCATCTCTACTCGACTGAACAGTCAGCAGCCATGAAATGAACCAATGTAACCAAACATGTAAATGGGGCAAGGGAGATATACATGAAATGTACACCAAACTGAGTGATCAGAATTCCTAACGTTCACCACGGCACCACCAACCAATTAGAGAAACCTACTTCTTTCCACCAATCGTAGGTTGACCACCATTTGCACTACCCATGCTAGTGGGTACGCCCATCTTATTTCCACCACTGAGACCCTTCAAGTCAATCAAATCACTGAATAAATTGTCAGGTATGTAATAAGGTTTGCTTGCTGCCGCTGAAGAACCTGGCGGTTGTTGATTCCCATTCATTTGAGCTTGTGTTGCACTTAGTCCATTACTTGTAGTAGAACCATTCCATATCGGCAATGAGGCTGAAGGTGGCACATATGCCATTGAAGGGGAAGTATATGATGCTGAGGGAGCTGAATAGGTTGAGGAAACAGAACCAACAGGTGGGGGTTGTTCTTGGTAAGTAGCTGACTGGAAAGGATTAGAATTGACACTTGGAGGTGCAGCCCATGGTGGTGCTGGATAATATTGACCACTTTGTGCCCAAGGTGCAACATAGTTTCTGTTCTGTCGAATATATTCCTGATTTATTGGATGCGACTGGTGGTTTGAAGGATACTGTGGCACACCCGATGGGTTGTGCTGCCCATCAGTAACTGCAGGCTGCTGAGGTCCATTAGGACCCTGCGTTGAAGAATCTGTAGAAGCTTCATGTGTAGGACTGCACAAGGTGAGGCTTAAAAGGTCGATCATATCCTGCTCTTTTGTTTGAGGACTGCTACTGACAAGAGCTGGGTCAACAGGAACTAAAGCATTGCTTGCAACAGAAGATGAAGATTCTGAACTTTCCATATCAATGGGTACAAGGGCAAGGTCTCCAGTGCTAGATAATGAATCATCACTAGTCATCACAGACTTATTTTTTCTGCAGATGCACAATGAAGCATAAGTTAACTGTGCATGAAAATGAAGCTGCATGTTACAAGGCTACTTATAAATACCTTTGTGCTAGTCGAGTGAACTCATCCTCCTCCTCCTCCTCCTCCTCAAGAGTGCTGATAGGAGGTGCAGATGGCTTTTCTGCTGGATCCTCTTTAGGAGCCTCAACATTGTCTGCCGGAGGTGCTTCAACTGCTAAATGAGTACTGGAGGCCATAATGTCATATTTTGAAATAATATTTTGTAGCCGATCATTTATCTCCAAACCTTGCTTCAGTAACTGTTCATTCCTAAACAACAGATAAATGAATTCAGATATCATATCACATTTTGTGCAAACTTCTTTGCTCTGCCTATGAAATGCTATGAAGAGAAACAAAGGAGAACCCTGAAATCACTACATTACAAAATTCAAAATACAAGGGGCAGCAACAAATATTGATAACATTACCCTGTTGAGCTGACAAACTGCATGAGCTTTTGTTGGTTTGAGCGACATTGGCTCACAAGATCTGTGATAATTTCATCTTTGACAGCCTGGGTTAAAAAAAAAGGGAGGTTGTTCAAGTCAAGAGCTAGATCAAAATCTGCTGGCATTTAGTCCATATGGTCAAAAGTAACAGTTTTTAGGCAGGAACATTTTTCACTACCATGTGATCAGATGGATTCAAAGCATGCACCATATCACATAGTAGTTCTGTCACATTTCGAATGTTATTCAGGTCACCCAAACTGTAATAGAAAAAGAGAAAAAAATGTTACAAACATAAATTGAAGTAGTTGGGTGATAGCTGACCAAACCAAATGAATCCGATATGCCAAGAAAGCAACCTTAGTGTCTCAACATCGGAAGACATTATCTCATTCAGACTTCCTGCCTCATATCTGGGTGAACCATAGCTTTGAGAAGTATGTGTCGCCGGGGGTGTAAATATCGGTGGTGCATCTATAGGACGCCTTGGGAACACGGCACCTATCCTCTGAATTCAAAATTGACAAGTTGCAAATATGGTTAGATATTATAGGGATGTTTTCAAAGAAAAGAAATGAATATTTCAGCATAAACACGTGAGCCATGCATGTTGAACACATGAGTACATGACATGCCTCTTGTAATCATGATCGTTCCACATACCATGACGAAACAAGGCTTCTATACTTCTTAAGGAACAATCATGGAATTTGTTACATACCTTTACTTCAAGATACGCAAAGTGATATTGTGGGTATTTACTTCCAGGTCCACCAAATGCTTCTTGCCAGGAGTCCAAAAGTAATAATATTTTATCCCTTACTAACATATCATTCTGAAAGAAAATTACAAAAGAGAAAACATTCATAATTTTAGTAGGGGCATGTCCAGTAATTGCCTCATTGATGTGAATTGAACAACATGCAAATACCAAATGAGAATTGATATTCCAGGAAATAAATCTGATGTGTGTAAACATCAGGTGCTGAGAAAAAAGAAGATAAGGTGCACTGTCAACGATGATTCAACTTAACCACAAAATTAGTATAGGTGAAGAAATTGGTGTTAAGCTCAAATTTTCTTAGTGCACAGGTCAGGACTAATCGAATGCAAAGATTAATTCAGTAAAGGTAAATATGGGTTATTGTAAGTGTTACCACATAATATCAAACTATTCAGTAAAGGTAAATATGGGTTATTGTAAGTGCTACCACATAATATCAAACTTTAAGCAGGGCATTGAACAAGTAACCATGATATTAATGATAGGCTGGTGACATCAAGTGCCTTTGCAGGCTAGTTACCCTATTACTCTACTACAAACAACCAATCAGCGTTTATTATGAAAAATATCCTTCCACCCGTGAAGAAAATGGGTTTAACCATTTATATTATCCTGTTTTAATATATTAGCTCTCTACAGAATAACCATCCAATCGCATTAGAAGATTAGTTTGATTGCTAATTAGACAAACCGTAAAACCAGCCAAAAGAACAGGGGTTTCGTGTAACACACGAAACTCTAAATGTCTTATACCAAAAACACTAGCAGTATTCAGTGTCATCTCAAATTATGCAATGCCATTAAGAATGCATATGATTAAAAAAACAACTGAGAAAATCACCATGTGCACAAAATTAGGAATTCAGAAGAGCAAGTAATTAGTAGTGAGGAGGGGAGTAAAGGGACCTTCTTCTGGATGATTTTCACCATTTCTTGCAGAACATGTTGCTCAGCAACTTCAAGTTGAACATATTCACCACAATTCTTCATCATAGTCTCCAAGAGCTGCAACAAATTTCAAACTAAATACATCAGACAAACAACAACTTCAGATTGTTGGGTAAGAGAGTATTCAGGGAACTTTCTCCTTTACTTTTTTGTGAAATAAAATTTGTATTCTGTTCAAAGATGAAAAATTATGTAGCCAAGAAAACACTGCATCCATCATTACATAACAAAAGAACATACCGTCAAAGCATAGAACTGAACTTTTGGGTCTTTGTTCTGTAGTCGCTTCTTCACTGCCTTTACCACATCCTTTGTTTGCCTGATAAGAATTCACAAATATTAGCTTGTTAAGGAGATAATTACTTGGAGTAGAAAAATAAGCTAGTTTATTTCATACTATCGACCTATCTATGGCCCTATATGAGTTCCCTCACTCCAATTGCTTTCTTCAGATTAGAGTCAAAGCCATCCCCTTTGCAAGTGCAGGTAATTATCAAAAGAGCTCTCAGGTAGCCTGGGAGTTGGGAGAGGGCAAAATCCACGCACACGTTGAAGGCTAAGTTGAATGGCATCCTATTCACCACAAAAAGCATCGAATCGCGAAACCAGGGCCTTGAAACCATCTCGACTCTACTTCAAATATGCGTACACGGCCGTCTTACCCGAATACCAAAGTCGACCAAAATTTGCCCCAAACAATGAATCAACTAACTAATTTAACCCGTCGGAACACCCAATAGACCCTAATCGAATACCGAAATTTTTCCACTAAACATCCAATCTCACACGCAGGAAGCCGTACACCGAACAGGGCAAAATCGGGAGCAACGACGCGGCGGAGTTGAGGTGAGAGAGACAGCAGGTGATCACCAGACGTCGGCGTTGATGATGTCGCAGATTTCGAGGTTGACGGCCCAGTCGGGCCCCATGAGCAGGTGGCTTGTCGCCTTCTCCACCCGCGGCGCCGCCCGAGCGGGCGCGCCCGCCGCCGGCGCCACCACCGCCCCCGCCGGGTGCATCGCTGGGGAGGAAGAGCCTAGGGTTTGGACTCCCCCGAGGAGACGAGCGAATAAACTACTACTCGTAAACCGCTGAGTTTAGCGCGGGGGGGGGGGGGGGGGAGGTAGGGGTTAATCCGTGCTGTCCGTTTAGCGCCGCGGAAGCAGGCGTGCGGGATTAACAATTTGTCTCCGTCACGACGGGTGGTCCCAAGCGTGACGTGGCGTGTCACGACCTCACGGGCCAAGGATTGGGAGAGAGATTAATAGTACCACTCCGTATTAGGTTTTGGTCAACGAGTCCAGGAGTTTTTCTTCTTTCATTGGCTTGTTTTTCTCTGTTTTTCGTCAGATTCACAGACTCCAGCCTGAAGAAAACTAACAGTGCTGACAAATTTTCGTATTAATAATCGAAAAAGGTAAAAGGCACTGATCGATTGAGTAATTGTATAAAGAATACAATTTTATGTATGTGAAATAGAGGTTGAGAGTTATACATGACAACCAACTATACTTTTCAAAACTATTGTATAGGAAATACAATCATATATATAGGGAACAAACAAACAGTTGTATATCAAATCTAGTTTTAATTGTTGAATATTTATGAAATTAAAATCCGAACTTAAAATGCTTTTATATGTTCACAAGCAAACGAATTTAAAATCTGACTTAAATACAGATTTGTATTTCTAAAAGCGAACAAACATAAAAACCGACTCAAATACGGATGACGTACTAAAATACCGGCAAAAACATAATTTTTATAATAGTAGAGAGAAGAGATAGAGATAGAGATGTATGAAATTTGTATACCAAATTTAATTCTATTTTTACCTAATCCCAAGTAAAGTTACGTGAGACAATCCGCATTTTTATTTAAGTAATTTTTGATATGTCGTGATACGTGAGCTACAGAGAGTACCAGATTCTATATTAAAAAAAATCTTCCTTCCGACTATAAAATCACTCACCAATGATACTTTGGGAGCAAGTATGTATATTTGGCTGGAGTATAATATATTTTTATCCATAAATAGTGGTTAGCTCCGATATGATGCACTTTGCGAAGTACAAATTACCCTCGGTACTCTGTGGGCCTGCTTGGAAGGTATTTTGGGGCTGTGGTTTTTAAGCAAAGACACGTATCCCATCTAACGAAAACAATTTTAAGGAAAAACTTATATACTTCTAAAGCCAAAGTTAGAACGTGAAATAAAGCTAAATTAATTTTAAAATAAGGTTAAAAATATATTAGATACTGTTGAGCACAAATGAGCAGGCCAATGCTACTATTTGCATTATAATTTCAAAGGTCCCCAAGTACTTCTTTGTCCTAGAATATAAGAAGTTTTAGAATTGGATATGATTATTAAGAAAGTAGGTAGAAGTGAGTGATGGAGATTTGTTATTAGATGAGTTGTGAAGATAAGTGAAAAAAGTGAATGGTGGATATGGAAGAGAATGTTGGTAAGAAAATTGTTATATTTTAGGATAAAATCGTGAGACTAAAAGTTGTTAGTATATTTGGAGTGGTTGGATGGGAGGTTTCCACCTGGAGCCACTTGCTTGGGGTTTGGTACACCGTACATCTCGTCATGGGCGTCGTATAAACTACAGATGTTGCGTGCGTCCAACCACTTGTTGACAGCAGCAGATTCAAAAGATCGCTAATGATAATGAACAATTTTAGCAACGCAACATTATCAATTGCAATGCGAAAGTTCTTACGAGGCAGGACTCGGAATAGATGTATGGAGTCTGACCTTTCAAGTCGGAGTTGTTGCTTTTGGAGGACACTGATAGAGCTGTGACAGCTATTTGTCGGTCTATAAAAGTGCTTGCTGAATCTGATGGCTGAGCTTTAGGCCTTATGGGCCGTAATGCCGTAGCAGGCCAAGACTGCTTGAAAAGTTGAGATGGGCCTTTCTATACTTTCAGCCTCAGAACATGGACATAAGTCCGGCCTTGCATTCGCCTAAAATGCAATACTGTCAGCATGTCTCAAAAAAAAAAAAAACAGTCAGCATGTGGAACGTACTGCCGAGATTCAAACACGTGAATGAGTTGCATTAAGCAGATTTCACACTCCATAATTCAAGCAGGCAACTCTACTTTGATCCATTATTCATGTTCTTTCTTCTTGCCGATCTCCAACTCTCAATTCAATGGATCATATAGGTTTACCTTTTAACTGATGAGGGCCAACCGTTTTCTCTGAAGGCACTATTCCTTATTCTATATCACATTATACACGATAATGCATCTCCTGTAAAAGTATACAACAATGACTCGCCGCTAAATCCTTACAACACACAAGTATACATTGTTACGAGTCAATCCCTGCAAGTTTTTTTTCCTTTTTTTTAAAAAAAATGTAAAACAGAGGAACGCTACAGGGGCAGTAGCCTTGAATCTTGATGCTGTCGGACAGCAAACCAATATACCACATGCTACCTACCTGCGGCATGGCCTCCTTCCACCTTGCCGCTGATGGAGCTCATGACGTTGGAGGCGATGGCGATGCTGCTCGTGATCACGGCCAGAGCGATCATCGTCGCTGCCAATGCCTTGTCCTTCGTCTTTGCTATCCCATGAGCATCCCTGCAAAAAAATTGTAGCATTACATGACAACTGTAACCAAGCGTTAAGCGATGAGAATTGTATGATGCCATGGTGGTGATCTGATGGCGTGCCTGAGAACGATGGCGCCGGGGAAGATCAACGAGATGCAGACGGCGAATGTTGACCCGGAGTACTCGAAGAGCGTCCAGATGCTGGGGATGGCGATGGCGAGCGCGTAGAGCACCGCCATGAGCACGGCCGTGAGCGCCACGAACCGGCGCGTGTCCGTGGCCAGCGGCCGCCGCCCCGGGAACAGGAGCTCGTCGACGTTGACGCGGAGCGAGAAGTGGAGCAGCGGGAAGACGAGCACGAGGTGCAGCGCGTAGCTGAGGCGCGCCGCGTCGTTCAGCGCCTGCGGGACCCCGGCGCCGGAGCTGCGGTCGAAGTTGGCGAGCACGTCCGCCATGGTGGCGTCGCCGAAGAGGAGGAAGCCGAAGAACCCCACCGCCGCGTAGATGGCCGCGCAGAGCACGAGGGAGATGCGCACGGCCGCCTTCATGTCCGACGTCTTGCTTAGCTCCGTTCGGATCGGGTGCACTGCCAGATGCAAGGCAGATAATTCAGTCTCGAGAAAAAGATGGTGTAGTGTTAACAATGGCGCGATCGATGTGATACCGTTGAAGTGGAAGGTGAAGGCGACGACGACTATGGGGACGGCGGTGAAGAGCTCGAACGGAGAGGAGAGGCGCGAGAAATCCGGCAGCATCCGCGGCATCTTCGCTGTGCCGGTGAAGAGGGCGTACACCGCGATGCCCAGGCTGATGAACATGAACACCACTGCCAGTAGGATGGACACGGCTGATGTGAACTTCAGTGAATCTGCAATTAGTCACAGGTCACAGCAAATTAAAGGGTATGACTTCAGGGACTACGGTATTCAGGTATTTTTCAAATGTCGTAGCTCCTCCCAAATTCATAAGGCATTCTAACCTTGCAAAATTCATATACTACTATACGACACCGTCCAGTTTTGCCAAATCGTAGTGGAAATTGGTCCGGAAATGGGAATTTAGAATTCGACCAAATGACTGAAAATGCGGTTTAGTTTGGGGCACTGGATCTAGAGTCTGCTCGTCGGTCCTAATGAGAAACAACAATCATCGCGGGCTCCCTTACGTACCGACACGCTTCCGGAGCACAAGAGGGAGGAGGAGCACCGCGGCTGCCACCAGCACCGCCTCCCGCCCTGTCCACCATTGCTGCCCGAACCACTCCGTCAGCACCCCGTCGTGCACCTTCCCGTCGCTCGTCGTGCCGGACATCACGTCGCCTGCAGGAACACTCACACCAAAATCCCCGGAAATATCACTCGTCTGCACGCGGCGACCAGCGCTGCAGGTTCGCTGGGTGTACGGCTCGGGGGGAGATATGCTGTGGTGCGTTACCGATGATGATGAGGTACACGGTGAGGGTCCCGATGGCGTTGAAGGCGACGAAGACGTTGAGCAGCGCGGCCCCGGCGCGGCCGAACGCGTCGCCCATCAGCGCGGCGTACGACGACGGCCCGCGGGTGTACCGGAGCATGAAGTCCACGGCGGCGTTGGCCAGGAGCGCGACGCCGACCACGAGCGCCACCGTCGGCGCCACGCCGAGCACCCGCATGGCCGCCGGGATCGACATGATCCCGGCGCCCACGACGCTCGTCGACACGTTGAACACCGCGCCGAGCACCGACGCGGCTGCGGCTGGCGTCCCCGCTCCGGCGTAACGCTCTGGCAGCAGGGACGTTTCTGCTGCCCCGCTGTCGCCGGCGGCGGCGGCGGCGGCGGCGATGGAGGTCTTCTTGGACACCATGGTGTTGATACGTTAAGCGGGGAGCTAGACGAGAGTTTGGTGCGCGTTTCTTTGGAATCGGCGGCTCGAGAGCGTGGAAACGTGGCGCGGGAAAACGACAGGAGGGGCGATGAGTGTGCTTGTGATAAGAGCCTAGTCAGATGGGTGAACGGAGCTCAGCGACCAAATTATTGTGGCGTGGCGCTGCGAACTTCGAAGGACGATAGGGTTTTTAATTTAGTCCGGACTGGTGGGCGAGTGGCTGACAACTGGGCCAGCCTCGTGGTCCGCGTGCAACAATCCGACGAGGCAATGATATCCTTGTTTATGGGCACTATGGCAATATTGCACATTTGGTGCACATGGTTGAAAGGGATGTGTAAATGGGTCTCAGGGTCCACATGAGATCGAGGCCCAAGATAACGCTCTTTCGGCCTTCCGGACTCAACGGCAGATGGATGAAATAGAAACTATCTAGCTATCTTATTAAGGAGGTGTTTGATCCACGAACTAAACTTTAAGAGGGTGTTTAGATCTGGGAACTAAAAATCTCTGTCACATCAGATATTTGATACTAATTTAGTCTATTAAACATATACTACTTACAAAACTAATTACATAAATGAGTGCTAATTCGCGAGATAATTTTTTAAGCCTAATTAATCTATAATTAGCACATTATGGATTAATTAGGCTCAATAGATTCATCTCGCTAATTAATCTAGGGTTATGGAATGTATTTTGTCATTAGTCTACGTTTAATATTTCTAATTAGTATCTAAACATCGTATGTGACAGGGACTAAAAATATTTTAGCTCCATCCAAACAGCCCCAAGCTGATGGTTTTTACCACTAGCTGCTCGCGCCACACGTGGCACAGTAGCTTTTAAAATAAATCTCCAAGTTATTTATAAAAAATTTGAGAAAAATATATTATCCTATCTATCTATCTTACTAAAGCTGATGGTTTTTACTGCTAGTCGCTCGTGCCACAACCATGTGGCATAGTAATTTTTTAAATAAATCTCCAAGTTATTCATAAAAGGGATTAGCTAAAAAAAACTGTCGAGTGTTTTTTTAGGGGAAAATTTTCAAATCTAGCTACAGTATATAATTTCACTAGAACTATATACTATAATAATAATAACTTGTATATATGTATTAAAATAATATATAATAATAATAACTTGTATATATGTATTCAAATAATATATGCAACTTTATATATAATTTATATAGAGATAACAATATAGTTACAATGTAACTAGGGTGTAACTGGAGTATAACTAACTATAACTTGCAAACTTTTTAGAAAACTTTAATGAGATGAAGTGGCTACCACGCATAGCTAGTGGGATTGAGGTCCTAGGTTCGAACCCCATGCAGCACACAAATTTAGTTATCGCATGGATTTTTTACACGAACGTGCCAGCACTAATCTTGAGGCGAATCCGACAGACAAAAACAGTCAAAAATTCGACATTTTTTCCCCTCGTTTACTGTCGACAGTAAACTAGCAAATCCGTTCATAAAAAATCTAGAAAAAAGAGATTATCCTATTAGACCAAATCCAGAACCTTCCAAACCATTCTTCTCCTCCTTTCAATTAATCTTTCCATCAGAAAAATAGTAAAAGAGGATATCGATTGGTGGATGTTGTGTTCATCCAGCAAGAACATCATCATAAGTATATTCCTTCATGACCTAACTAATACTCTCTCCGTTTTTTTAATAGATGACACCGTTGACTTTTTTTTTCACATGTTTGACTATTCGTCTTATTCAAAAAATTTACATAATTATAATTTATTTTATCATGAGTTGTTTTATCAATCATAGTATTTTAAGTGTGATTTAATTACGTAATTTTTTGAATAAGACGAATGGTCAAACATGTGAGAAAAAGTCAACGGCGTCATCTATTAAAAAACGGAGGTAGTACGATGATAAGTATATTCCTTCATGACCTAACTAATACGTATATCTTCTGAATTTCATGAATTTGATGAAAAACTATGAATTTTTTTTAAAAAAGACGTTGATGGAAAATATGATGTTTTTCATTTTCATAAGTGCAAGACTCTGCTACAACGATTGTTGATAGAAGAATATCCTTTCAAATATAGGGCTAAACTTTCAAACGCGGTTGTAGTATAATTGTAGTGTATCTATAATATAGTTATTTATATGTAACTCACATTTGCTATTCGTGACGTGAATCTGATGGCTGACAAATCGATCGTTAAAAAAAACACGTCAACAATTTTTGGCTAATACTACCTCCGTCCCAGAATACTTGTCTCTTTAGGATTTAAATTTTGTCCCAAAATACTGGTCACTATGGAGTACTAAGTTGTCCCATCAATCACTTTCTATTCAAAAGTTTTCCCTTTTTACCCTCAATAATCATTTCACTTACCACCATACATTATTTAATAAGGGGTATTATAGTTTTTTATTAAATCTTAATCTATCCTAAACAACCTAGAATGACAACTATTGTAGGACGGAGGGAGTAATATATTATGTCTTTCATGCATTCTAAAAGTAACTCTAACTAGCGCACACTGGCTAAATAGTTGACACGTCAACGTGGGTGTCATATTTTCTACTATAAAGATAAAGTTAGAGCATGTAAAATGAGAGAGCCATTAGCACATAGTTACTTGACTTTTAATTATTATAAATTTAAAAATAGGTTTATTTAATTTTTTTAATTAAATAACTTCTACATAAATTTTTTTCACAAAATATACCATTTGGTCAATTTTTTTAAATAAAATATACCGTTTAGTCATGGTAATGGAAATCGAGGAAAAATCACCACCATTATGTGCTGTTTCCGTAGTTCGACAAATTGGATTTTTGTTAAAGCGTTTAGAGGACTCAATCGGTAGCTGAGATAAACCCTGTGCACGAGCGCAATCCGACGTCCACAATGAGCCACTCCATCTCCATGTCCCAAATAATTCGGGTGGCTCAACTACTCGTGTCGAACACCGCTCGAGAACTCAAATTTACAACTCAGCACTAGCTTAATTACTTTCTATGTCATAAGTTTTTGGCTTTATAAAAAAATATATAGTAGCATCTTTAACATTAAACAAATATATTATCAAAATATATTCAATAACACTAATTTGATGTTTTAGATATTGTCAAATTTGTTCTATAGATTTTATTAAACTTAATAAAGTTTGAATAAAAATATTCTTAGTTTAGTATGAAACGGATGAAGTACGTTTAGAGTAGCAATTAAACTAATCAAGCTATTTTAGAGTAGCAATTAATAAATACTAATTAAGTGCATCAGGTTGTATTCGAGAGCAACTCACCGACGCGGCGGCGGAGCACGAGCGGGAGCAGAACGACGATGGCCGTGACCAGTATGACGAGCTCCCTCGCCGTCCACCACTGCGCTCCGAACAGCTCCTGCAGAACACCGGCGTGCTCGTCTCCTGCTCCTGCGCTCCCAGACAGCACATCCCCTGCGACGGCGACCAAGATGCTCGACGCGGTTAATTCAATATTTTCTCCCCGCATGCAATTCGGATGTATCCCAGAGCTGCAGAGCAGCGCGTCCTCGACGGCGTGGGCTCACCGATGATGATGAGGTAGACGACGAGGGTGCCCGTGGTGGTGAAGGCGATGCAGACATTGAGCGCCTTGGCGCCGGCGCGGCCGAACGCGTCGCCCATGATCCCGGCGTACGACGGCGGGCCGCTGTCCCAGCCCGTGTACCGCAGCATGAATTCCACGGAGGCGTCGGACAGCGCGGCGACGGTGGCGATGAGGAGGAGCGCGGGGAGCACACCGAGCACCCGCATTGCCGCCGGGATTGACATGATTCCGGCGCCGATGATGCTCGTCGACACGTTGAACACCGCGCCGGAGACCGACGCCCCATGCCCGCCGCCAGAGAACTCCGGCAGCAGCGGCTCCTCCACCTCGCCGGCGGCGGCGCCGGTGCACTTGCCCGTGCTCGCCGGCGGCGTCATTTTCGGTGGGGATTTCAGGCGTGTGGATGGCGCTCGTTGGCACCACCTAAATTAGTACCACTTGAACCTATGCTTCCTTAATCCGGTGAAAATTACGCCCATATCCTTACGCGCTAATGATGATCGCTGTAGAAGCAGCAGCTGGTAACGGGGCCTAATATGGTAATTCCGCGTGGGAGGCGTACTACGCGACAGAAAGGACTGATGTGATTACAGAGCGGAGAGAGGAAGCTAGTGTTTCAGGTGCTGTACTTGGACGGGAACACGGCCCCGATTCCTGATTTTGCGATGATACAATGAAGCGGGACCCTTTTTAGCAGCGGCGTGCTGATTTGCTATGCCCAACGATTGGCCAGTCGGCCAGCCTAACGGATCCATACCACTGGCTTGCTTGCTGGAATCTAGCAACATGACAGGCGCCGGACACAATATCCGCCGTTGAATCCATGGATCCATGGGGTCGACGTAGATGTTTGCTTTTCCTTTCTAAACTCTCCAAAGTGAGAAGACAAACTTATTTTTTTTACACCGAGATGACAAACCTGGTAAATCTACCGCATCCCTTTCTCCACAAACTACGCACCCCCTTTCTCCACAAACTACAGCATGGACGAACAATTTGCCTACTGAGGGCCCCTTTGATTTGGAAAAAAAAATATAGCAATTTTAGAGGATTTTAATCCTATAGAAAAATTTTCTATGAAGTCCTTTGAAACAAATGATTGAATTCTATCCAATCCTTTGAAATTCCTATGGAATGGATAATCCTATAGAGATTTTAGAGGAAATTTAGCAAGAGTTTTAACCTCTTGCTAACTTTCCTTTGAGTCTATCTCTCTCATCCAATTCCTGTGTTTTTCCTGTGGTTCAATCAAACGGTAATTCCTGTGTTTGCAATCCTCTGTTTTATACTTACATTCCTATCAAAATCATACGTTTTTCTTATTCCTACGTTTTCTCAATCCTATGATTAAAGGGGCCCTAAGTGGGTCAATTAAGACCAATTGGGCTTTACAATTCGGCAAGAGAACAAGCCTGAGAGTTCGCCTGCTTGGGCCTTTATTTAGGCTGAGTGGTTTACATGGAGTTGGGCCTACTTCTAGACCCATGGTAAACTAATCTACCCCTGGAAAGTAGTACTACTACTAGTGAAAACCTTTCCGTCTTCCTCCCGTTCGCCTCTCCTTTGCGGTTTGGCTCTCCACTGGGGAAACCCTCGAGGCCGCAAGTCCGACGCCACGTCGCCTCGTCGGCCGACGAGATCCGCGGCCGGCGGAGTATATTGTTGGAGAGCAGAGCTGCGGGGCTGCGCGTGCCTTCAGGCCAAACCCTCTCTAGTCTTTCTCCGTTTCTTCCATCTCCGTCAACCTACCGGCGTATTCGGAAGGTTTCTTTTTTCTCCTTTTTTTTTGTTGAAAAAATCCACGGAACCTATCGTCATGGAGAGACACTGCCGGCTGCCCTCTCCCCACCGTGGTCAATCCCGTTGTGCTGCACTGCTGCTTGCCCGCCTCTCGCGGAGGCTTCAAAGAGACCCAGCGAGGACGACGACCTGGTTTGAGAATTCAACGCTCGCCGCCTTCATCTGACCAAGGAAAACCGCTTGATTTATGATTTATTGATGGCATCGCGTATACACGAGTACACTGACATGCCTCCAAGCTTGACTGCTTTGGTACTCTATGGATCCCGGGGCACAGGCGCACAGCATAACATCAATTCAGATTTCTGATGTGTGAACTGTGATCCCTGCTTGCTTTGTTCGTGCACACGACTTCGATGCAGCTCAACTTCGTGCACACGACTTCGATGCAGCTCTGCTACAACTTGGGAAGATGACAAGGCTGTATTTAGTTGGCGCCCAAGTCAAATGTCCTGGCAAGCGAAAGTCGTGAGATTTTAAAGAATCGAAGTGCAGTTTAGCAGACTGCTACTTTCCCCTACCTCAAGAGTTCTCCACATCTCCAGTTCTTCAGAAGTTTGAGCCTGTTTGGAGGAATTGAGCTGCTTTTCGCCCGATTGACTTGTCCTGTACATCTGTGAGGTATGTTCACTTGTGACTTATTATGTCTTCGGTCCCAGTTCATGCATAACCCTGTTCTTTGGCTTTGGGGGATAAATTTGTGACTGTTGGATTTGGCGATTTGGGGGCGAATTCTTAAGTTATGTGTGCCTTCTGCTTTTTAGGCTGAAGAAGAAATACCTGTTTGTTCAGAGTTTCAGTTAAACAGAGAAAAATGGTTCAGAATTTTCCTGAAGACGACATGGCAGGCACACCTTACTCTGATCAAACCTCACCAATTTTGACTGAATATCATATCACAGTTCCTGCTCTTCATGATGGATCAATGCAAGGATCTGTTCATCACGAGAGGAGACTCCTGGATTGCCTCAGAGCCACTCCCTCGGTGGAGTGGCTAAAGAATATCAACCTCTGTTCTCCACTGACGAATTTCCGGCTGCCATCTACCGGCGTCCGCCGGTACCTCCATGTCGAGGTTCACTTCGTCAGAAGAATCAACTGGAGCTCGGTGTTCAGCTTCTGCAAGAACTGGCTCAAGCACCCTCTGAACATTGCTCTCCTGGCATGGCTGCTCTGCGTCGCTGCAGCTGGTGGCATGTTGATCCTGCTCCTGCTAGGATTGCTGAACAGGGCCTTCCCTTCCAAGCCATTGAGGCATCACTGGATAGAGATCGACAACCAGATCCTTAACGCGCTCTTCACGCTCATGAGCATATACCAGCATCCCAGCCTGATCCACCACCTCGTTCTTCTCTGCCGATGGCGGCCGGAGGACGCCGCGGAGCTCCGGAAGGTGTACTGCAAGAATGGCGACCGCCGTCCCGGCGAACGGGCGCACATGTCCGTCGTGGTGGCTCTCCTCCATGTCACTTGCATTTCTCAGTACGTGGTTTGCAACCTCTACTGGGCTTACCGCAGCAGATCGCGATCCGAATTCGCCGACAATTTCTTCTTCGTCCTCGGCGTCGTCGCGCCCGTCGTCGCCGGAGCGTACACGGTGTACAGCCCTCTAGGCAGGGACACAGACGACGATGCCTCCGGCGAGGAAGCCAAGCAGCAGCAGCAGCACATGATCGAAGCCGAGCTGCCCGGAACGAGAACGGTGGTCGTCGACCCCGTGTGGGCGGGCGGCCTCCTCGACTGCGGCGAGGACCCCGCGGCGTGCTGCCTCTCGTCGCTGTGCACCTTCTGCGTGTTCGGCTGGAACATGGAGCGGCTCGGGTTCGGCAACATGTACGTCCACACCGCCATGTTCCTGCTGCTCTGCGTCGCGCCCTTCTGGGTATTCAACATCACGGCGCTCCACATCCACGACTACGACCTGAGCGACGCCGTGGGCGCCGCGGGGATCGCGCTGTGCTTCCTCGGCCTGCTGTACGGCGGGTTCTGGAGGGTCCAGATGCGGAAGAGGTTCGCGCTGCCGGGGAGCCGGTGGTGCTGCGGCTCGGCGTCGCTGACGGACTACGCGCGGTGGCTCTTCTGCTGGCCGTGCGCGCTCGCGCAGGAGGTGCGCACGGGGAACCTGTACGACGTCGAGGACGGCGGCGGCGTCTTCTACGAGAAGGCGATGGACGGCGGCGATGTGGAGGGCGGCGCGGCATCGACGGCTGCGACGGGAGTAGTGCCGGTATCGGTGGGTGGAGGAGAGGGGGATGGCGTTGTCGGTGACATAAAACTCGGTATGGACGGTGAGATGATCCCACCCGCGCAGGCAGTGATGGAGACCAGTGGCGATACGCAAGGCAGTGGTGCAGACGTTGCGGCAAATGGTGACAACGAGCTCAGTAGCTAAACCCAAGGGTGATTATCTGATTGATGTTATGGTGTGCAGAAGCTGCGGGGGAATCAATCTTGTTTTTTGGGGATTGGCACCATCTTTCCAGCATTGTGCTCTTGCTTTGTCATGTTCTGCTCAGCTACTGTTTTCGTGTGGCAAGGTTTAGGGCAGGTACCATAGCAGAATATAAACCAACTATAAATATATTTTAAAGAGATAAAAGAGGAAATAAAAGAGCAGCAGGCTACAGATCTGTAGCCAGTTACAGCACGAAGATATTAATACTTCCTCCGTCCCATAATATAAGGGATTTTGAGTTTTTTCTTACACTGTTTGACCACTCATCTTATTAATTTTTTTTGGAATTATTATTTATTTATTTTACTTATTTTATTATCCAAAGTACTTTAAACACAACTTTTTGTTTTTTATATTTGCACAAATTTTTTTTTGAATAAGACGAGTGATCAAACAATGCAAATAAAAATTCAAAATCCCATATATTATGGGATGGAGGGAGTAGTATAGTAAGACCATTCCTAACCCAAGACATTAGACATAGTTTCCATAAACTCCACATCATCAAGAAACTAGTATTAGGCACCACTCTTCCAATATAAACACCACTATTACATACTTAAATTTAATGTGACTTATCTCACATGATGTCTTGAATGTGGGGCCGGCTAATGGGCGGGTGACCGCCCTAGGCGATCACCCCCCTATCTCCCCTATACACTTCTCTCTTCCTTCATCCTCTCCTTCTCTTCCTACTACACCATAAATTTTAAAAAAATAAAAAACACAAAGTTAAAAAAATTATGTATAGAAATACTATATATAAAAATTTTGAATTCAAATTCAAATTTAAAACAGGTATGTAAACTTTTGACTTATAAACTTTGGGTCTATAAACTAATATTTGAATTCAAATTCAAATTTGAATCAGGTATGTAAACTTTTGACTTATAAACTTTGGGTCCATAAACTTTAGGTGTATAAAATTTAGATGTATAGAAATACTATATATAAAAAATATTTTGAATTCAGAATCAGATATATAATCTTTTGATTTATAAACTTTTGATCTCTAAACTTTATATGTGTAAACTTTAAGTGTATAAATTTACTATAATATGAAAGTAATGCGGTGCCAAAAAAAGAAACCACGTGGAGAAGAGGGGGCGTGCTAGGAGCGATCGATCGCCCCTTAGCAATCCCGTTTGGATGTTGGGTAGAAACCATGTCGAGACATGGTTTCCTTCTTTTTCCTCATTTATTCACTTGCCACATTATTTTTCATTTTAGGTTGCAGCTTATTTGATGCTATGGACACCATCCTAGTTATTGGGTTGGGAATGACCTAAGTAACTATTGTATGAATTAGCTATTAAATTAGCTATAGATAATTTGGAGTTAGTAGTTATGGTTGGCTATACTAAACTTGCTAGTAGGGAATAATCTGTGCACACCAGACTCTCGTGACAAGGTTCAGTAAATTCAGAGGGAATTAGTTGGAGCCAGTTCAAAAGGAGATTCTTATGTGGACCATAGTGGCCTTCGGCAATATGGATTAGTAGTTTAGTACTGTACTACTCCTTTTCGAGTGTGAAATGTATAGGTAAAGGAGAATGAATAGATGCTGTAGTTGTATGTGCTTTAATTTTCACGGTGGAGAACAAAAGTTGCGCTTGCTTGCAGAAAAGAGAAAGGCACGGTCGTAGATTATTTAAGCTTCAGAACAGAGAGACAAACAGACATCTACACTTCGAAGCTGTGTAAACCTGTGAGAGTCAATCTCTCTCTACTTTCCAAACATGGCTGTAAGCTCTACTCTGTTCTTCTGTTTATGCAACAGTACTGTATAATTTTAAGCTCTACTCTGTTCTTCTGTTTATGCAACAGTACTGTATAATTTTATCTGTAGTACTGTACATCTACTAATTGATCACGCATATGCTTCTCAACAACGGGTCTGAATTTTTTTTGTTTTGTTGCGACAGGTGGTGGAGTTGAAGGTTGGGATGCACTGCGACAGGTGCATCAAGGCGATCAAGAAGGCAATAAAAACGATCGATGGTAAGCATTCGTTCCACTGAATCTGTCATTTTTATACGCTACAAAACATGTACTTGTATGGTTGCATGATCAACCGTGCTTCTTCTGTAAAAATTAACAGATATGGAGAGTTATCAGCTAGAGACAGAGATAAACAAGGTCACCGTGACAGGAAATGTTACCCCAGATGAAGTCGTCAAGGCTCTGCAGAAGATTGGGAAGACGGCAACTAACTGGGGTGAAGACTGAAGTGTTCATCTTTAGCTAGTAGTATATATCAGCTGATGACTTGATGTCCTTAGTCCTTAGTCCTTTCTATGGTTACTTTGAGCTGTTTATACTGCAGATATACAGTAGTACTAAGGAACATAAAGTGGGTAAACTCGGCATTGCTTACTCTCCCTCAGTAGTTGATTAATGCAATGGATTATGCGTTGCCCTGTTGGATTACCTTACCTCCTTTGATGTGTACCTGATTTGTTTGCAAAATCTTCCGGATGATGAGACAAACTTTTCTACGTTTTCATGGAGGATATGCATGATATGTCTTTATTCAGAACAAAATTATCCATCCTTTCCTTCAAAATCTGAATCAGCTTTCGCTTGCACTCCTATAGACCATCTTCTCGAAAAAAGAAAAAGAAAAACCCTGTCAATGGTTGGATTTTGTTCTTCCAAAAGGATAAAAAATGTTGGAGCTTGGGGGCCTGAAATCATGTTTTTCTCTTCTGCTGCTGCTTGCAGTTCATAAAGGCTGCAAAATTGGTTCTTCTTTTGCTTCCAACCAATTCGTACCTGTGAATGTTACAGTGTTTAGGCATTGTTTATGGAACAGACAGAAATCCGATGCAACACACGAAGTTATGTGAGATTTGTTTAACTCCAATACATATCCTAAATTGGGATTCAAAGCGTGTCAGTTAGTTTGATCCTGCAACTAACAAGAATGATAGAAATAATCAAACTAATCAACCGATATTGCTATAGTGTGGTAGATGTAGGTCCAATGGTTAAAGTATACATCGGCTGGATATCCGATGCAGGTAGATTCGCATGTATATCGGCTAACCAACTGATACATCTAATACCTGAAGCTCATAATAATGATAACTTATCGGTTAAAACCCTGATGAAACGTTGCATCATATTGACTTAGTAGATCAAACTTATTAGCAGCAATTTAATAGATCAAACCTAACCGAGACAATATAAGATTGAAGATAAAAAGAAAAACATATTTAGCTGATAGATCTACACAACCGTGATGGATATATTGGATCAATCTAAAACAACAATATGATTAGAGAAATACCAACTGTCGACGTTTGAGGTCACAACTACAGTATTTGCATGGTATGGGGATCATTGATACCAGGTAAAAGATACAGAGACAATGATTTTTATACAGGTTTAGGCCCCTTCGTAGGAAGGTAATAACCCTACTCCTATTGGCCGAAGCCGGTGTTGCTCTATATTTATCTAAATCACACAAGTACAATATTTGGGATAATCTATCTAGATGTTGTCGACTTGGCGGCATGGATAACCAACACGTAGTTGACGACAAGATAGTCTTCCTTTTCGAGTACAAACTCATTGATATAAGAGATGGCGCTAGATCTCTCTTGTCGGCCTCTGCAGGCACCATATTGGGTATGTCTAGGCTTATCTCTGATGTCAATGTCTGGCGGCATGTGTTGGTCTCTATTCTGATTTGTGTGTCGATCTGTCTCGTTGTGTCTTCTCTCCTCCTAAGGGGTATTGTATTTATACCCATAGATGTTCCCTTGCCCAAGTAGAACTACGGAGTCAAGTATGGATACAATCCGATTAGTTCTTATAGTTTTCAAATAAAACTCTATTTTTCTTTCCTTATCCGAAACTCCTTCTATATGCGAGGTATGATTTCGTATAAGACTTGGTATATGGTGGGCCCCACTGAGCTTAGTCGATTACTATGGGTATGTGGTATCCATAACCCTGACACCAACCTAGTTAGAATATCAGACTTAACCAAGAAAATCCTAACTAAGCCGATACAACTCTAAACAGCTATGCGATTAAAGATAGAGTTGATATATCTGATAGGCAAAGCATGTAACAGTCTAGTTAGAATATCGGACTTAGCTGAAAATGTTCTAACCAAGCCAATACAAACAAAGTTGATAGAACTTACATCCTCTCCAGTGAACGAACTTAACCGATGTAGTCCAACTCGAGAGCATGGCCTCGAACTTGATTTCTCGCCAGAGATCGAACTTAACTCATGCAGCCCATCCTAAGACAAAAGATGTAAAAAGACATTGGGTGTACATATTTATACCCTGGAGTTTGTGCAAGTCTAAATCGAACACGAGATAAGATTTCATAACTAGAAAAAAAAACTAATCCTACTTATTTAAGAGAGATACTAAGAAAATATGAGACCATCCTGATGTGGTCTTCCCGACTCCTCCTTGAATTCAGCCTTATTTATATAAATTTTCAGCTACCGAGCAGTTTATTTCCTTACTCGAATCCACTAAAAAGAGCTTTGTTCCGGTGCATTAGGTTATACCTTCAGGTACTGGTATCACCAGGTATCAAATTAAATCAAACCGTTATTCAATCAACAGGGACATGATAGGTAATGAACTAAAACATCGGTGGAAAGGGAATGTGCAAGTGCAACCATCCTCTGCGTCAAGCATGTGCCGCTGCCGCCGCTAGCCTAGAGATGTCAAAATGATGGGCTGCAAGCTTGGATCCATGACCGACGAGCACTAGGAGGTGAGGGAACAAGATCCTCTAACGTAGAAGATTCTACGTCAGAAGGATGTAGAAGGCTTGAGCGCCGTTTATTTCGCATCTGACGGCAGCGCCGGTTTTCTCTAGCCTCCGCCCTCTTTCGACCAGTCCAGAAGCGCGATGGTTCGGCCCATATGCGGTCAAAGCGAAGGGGAAAAACCACGCATGGAAAGAAAACGAAGCCGCCCCTAGTCGGCCATGGCCATTGGCTACTTGCTGCCGTTCGTCGATCATCGCCTCCCACTACGCGGGTACAGGTCAAGCAAATCCCCGAGGAAGCACCTTCTTCCGCCGCCCTCTGTAGCGCCCGTTCCGTCGTGGCGCCTAGCGGGAAAATCATCTCTTAAAAACCCTAATTGCGAAATTTGTTTCTTTGCTTGTTGTCTAGTGTCCGTGCCATCTCAAGATCTCAATCCCCGATCTATCGTCAAGTCCAATTCCGAATCCAATCCTTCCAAATCAAATTCCTCCGCAAAAGTCTATTTTGCCTCCCCCGGGGGTCGATGGGCCGATTTCCTCCCGGCCCATCTCCCCCTCTCCCCCGGCCCTCCCTCTCCCGGGCGCTCTCTCTCTCTCTCTCTCTCTCTCTCTCTTTCTCTCTCTCTCTTTCTCGCCCTCTCCCCTCCCCGGCGCGCTCCCTCTCCCCCTCTCCCTCCGTTCCGCCCGCGCGCCGCGCGCGCGTGCGCGGGAGTCGCCCGCGCCGAGCGCCCCCTCCCCTCGCTCCCCTTCTCCCCATCCCTGGCGAGCTTCCCGCTCGCAAAGCCGGCCCCCGCGCGCCGTGGTTCGCGCGCGCGCCCGCGTGGTCGTCTGCGCCGTCCGCGTGGTTGCCGTCCGGCCCCGCTGCCCTGCCGCGCCTGCAGCCGCTCGGCCCCGCAGCCAGCGCGCGTGCCGAGCCGCGCCGCTCCATCCGCCGCTCGTTGCAAGCCGCGCGCGCGTGCCGAGTGGCCGACCGCCTGGTCGCCGCCGTCGTCAGCGCCTGCCGCGCCTGCCGTCCGTGTCGCCGCTCCGCTCCACACCGCCCGCCGTCATCGCCGTCGTCACCGCCCGGCCCCCGCCACTCCGCGCGCAAGCCGCCAAGGGACGGAGGCAGCGCCCCTCCTCCCTCTGCCGCGTCGCCCCCGCTCCCCTCCTCCTTTTTCCCGAATCAGCAAAAGGGCAAGCCCCTTTCTCCCCCTCCTTTTTCCCCTTTCCCCCCGCCGGCGTCATCCTCCCTGTCGCCGCTTTGGCCGCGACCGCCGAGCGCCAGCTCGCGCCCTTGACCGCGCAAGTCGGTTCCCAAACCGACATTGCCGCCCATTTAAACCCCAGCCTCCCTCCCTTCCTTTCCTCTCCCTTTTGTCTCCGCGCCATTGCCGCCGCCCCCGTGCTCTGTTCGCCGTCGCCGTTCGTTGTTGCGCGTGTCGGAGGAGCCGGCACGAGCAAGGACGCGGAAGAGGACTTCGGCCGCGCCCTCTCCTTCCTCTTCCCCGGCCCGAGGCCGGAGAGATTACTCCCGCGCCGTCGGCCTCTCGTCACAGCGCCCCGACCCGCACGGTAGTGCCTCCCTCCGTTCTTCCTCCTCGCTCCATCTCCTCCCCCTAGCTTTCGGTAGTAGCTCGAGTAGACTCCCCGTAGTTAGCCGGCGCCGCCCCGACCGTTGCCGTCGCTCGCCGCGTGCTCGCCGCCGTCACCGCTCGAGCTCCGTAGCACCCGCACGTCGCCAGCCTCGCTCGGCGTAGCTCCGTCCAATCCGACGCAAGCATCGAGTTCCCGAAACCGCGTAGATGCTCTCACCGCCGGGAATCGACCCCTCGTGGCCTCGCCGCCGTTTCCCTCTTCCCTCCCCGCCGGTTGTCGCCGCCGTGATTCGCCGCCGTCAAGCTTCCTCCGGCAAATCCGAGCCGTTGGCTCGTCTCCCCTCATCACGACCAACCGCCCGGTGTGCTAGCTTTTGCCCGTATCGCCGTGGTTTGCTCCGCCGCTCGCCGCCGCCACCCGCCGTCCATTCGCGGCCAGGTCGTCGTCTACCTCCCGCCGGCCCGCGTGGCAGCCACGTAGGCGCCACGTCGGCGCCAGACCGGGTCGAGCCGACCCCGGTCAGTCCCTCCCCGTGCGCGCGTTCCACCGCGAGCCGTGAGGCTGCGCGTGGGCCCGCCGCATCCGCGTCCACCGCGAACCGCGCGCGTGCACCACGTCCCTCCCCCGCCCGTGCGCATGAGCCACGTACTCCCTCCGCACGGTGAGCCGAGCCGCTGACAAGCGGGTCCCACCCGGGACCGCGCATGGTGAGCCCGGTCCACCGGCTCTCTCTCTCCTCCCTCCCGCGCGCGCGTCTTGGGCCGCTGTGGGCCGCCTTCTTGGGCCGGCCAGCCCGTTAAGCTCGGCCGAGCCGCCCTTTCTCTCGGGCCGCGCCCTATCCGCCCGAGGGAAGTATATATTCCCTCCCTCTCCCCTTTTCTTTTCTTTTTCTTTTCCAAAAAAAAAGGATTTAATTAAATCATTTTCCTTTAGACCAAAAATCCAATAATCTTAGAAATTCAATATCTTCCCAACCGTAAATCCGTTTGACTCCGTTCAAATTCCTAAATTTCTCAAATCTCGAGATCTATCTAATGGCACGCTTAGAGGTCATTAATAGGGCTTTATTTTCGCCGTTTGTTGAGTTGTCCCGTTTTGCGTATAGTTTCGGAGCCCGAAGACCCGCTGTGCGAGGATTTCGAGGATCAAGCTCCAGATCTCGAGCAAGGCAAGCCACCTTTG